TTCATTATGATACAACCATTATATATATTTAGCTTGTCTCCCAAAATTATTTCCTAAATTAAAAAAAAAAAGTTTCTCTGCTTCAAAGCAATTTGTTAGCAAATTTTTTAAATCAAAATTTTATTTTTGCATTTCTGCCCATCAATCTGGAAATAATGATAGCTCGTAAGAAAAAAAAGCACCAATTATTTTTCAGATTAAAACTTCTCAGAAGTTTTACTTTCATCCTATTGTGTCTTCTATTTTATAACTTTCAACCAAATTACAAGTGGTAGCAAAAATCAAAACCTAATTTTAATGATATTAAAGGGATAGCAAAGATAATGGCTATCATGCTTAGAATATATATCTAAATATTTTACCACTCTATGACCAGAAAATATTAAAAATTCTAATGAGTATGTCATTACAAAGTCAAATATGAGAAGCAATATGCAAGTCAGCCACAAAATGAATACTTTTCAAGTACAAGAGATAGTAGAAAGATGACACATAAAATAGTCCACACAAGTTAGGATGGATTCATCCAGAAAAAATCACTTGCTCAGAAGAAAAGCAACTAAAGCCAACACAGTTGTACTAAAAAAACTTGCAAAGTTTTAAAAAGCAAAACTGATGAAATTTCAATTAACTAATGTCCACATCTTTTCAATTTCTAATCCTTAAAATCCAACTGAAATCACCAAAGCAAACACTATACACAACTGTTTGCCATTAACCCCCCAACATGCTATTTTTCTAGCAGGTATTTGCTCATATTGTGCCCCTCTGCCCATAAACTCTCCTCAAGATTTACAACTCAAATCAGGTGGGAGGTGTGCCCTTTCTTTGTACCCTCAAAACTTCTGCAGAGTTTGTCTCTGCCTTCTTCAATAGATGATGACTCCTTAAGACCAAAAACAAAGTTTCATTTATATTTAACCCCTGAAGGCTACAAAAATATACTCAGCACATGAGAGGCATTCAAGAAAATTTGTTCTTTAACAAACTTCATCAATCATAGCCAAAACAATAGTATACAAGTCAGATGAAATTAAATCAATGGCACAAGCTGGTCTGTGACAGAGGTTCTTTACTCCTGTTGGAAAGCTTTGTGTGGTTCATACAAGTAACAAACTGCCACTTGTGTCAGTATTACACAAACACAGAAGTAAGAAGAGAAATGCCTTGCCTTCAATTAGTTACTAATAAATTATATAACAAGGTGAACTGTCAATACACACTTGAGGCTACCTCCCTCCTTCCAGTAAGTATTCTCCAGGACTTTCTTTCTTCAAAACTATAATTCTCCAGGACCTTCCTTTATCTCCTTGATTTTGCTTATCCCACTCCTACGTGGTGAAGAATTCTCCAGGGGAAAGCAGTGGCAAAATTGGAAGGCCCATACTCAAAACAGAGGCAAATTTTAGGAAAAGCAAGATTATTCACACTGATAGTCTGATCCATTATTAAACAAATACAAAATTATGAAACAGAAAATACTTAAAGAGATATGATACTGAATTACCCACGATATCTCCATACATCAACTACTTAGCATAGAACCTATCTATCTCTTAGCCCACAAGTATGTATTCTACGTATTAAGCCCACTATGTATCCCACATATTATAGGTGCCTAAATATAAACAGGTGACATTTCTTATCCCGTTGGTTGGGTGATCAGTTTCCAGTGAGGTTAGGGAGATCATTCTCAGACATTATGAAGATGAAGACAGTCTCCAACTTTGAAGTTAAAAAAAAAAAAAAAGAGGGTTCAATTTTGGCATTAATCCCAGCTTTTAGCTTCTTCTATTAGGGATATTTTGCTTAAAACAGAGTTCACTTTAAATAGGACCAAAAAACCCAAATTTTTTAAAAATTGATTTTAAAGTACTACCTACCAAGAACTTTTGGGGTTCTGCTAAGAGCATTAAATGGTCACTAGAAGTAAACTCACTGATCTCTAGTACTCGTTTAGGTACCTATTATAATCCCTTTATAAGAAAACTATTTTCCTCATAACACCAATGATAATCCTTTAACTGAAGTCTAACTTTTTCTCTTTTATTTTACAAACTCAAAAAAGGGGCATGGTAACACCAAAACAATGTGGATATTAAAAGTACATTCTTAAAGGACTCTGAAATAAAAAGGTAAATGACTATATTACATGTAATAGTCAAAGATCATCAAGGTAAGACTGGATAATAATGCTCAAAATAGCATCAAACTGAAAGGGTTAACAGAAGAGTATCAAAACAAACTTAAAAAAGAAAAAAATTACTACACCCAAAGAAAACATCTTAAAACCATAGTTAAATTCACTATCTACAGAGGTACATTCAAATCTTTAGAAAACAGAGACAAAAGATGATTTAATATTTAATGAACTCTATTTGAGAGACTCCAGGAACCAATAACAACCTCTCAAGATCTCAGAAAAATCTAATGCTTGCAACATGTAAATATTTAGCAGGATAAGAAGAACACACCACTAAGAATACACCACTACCACCAACTGATCTCAACCCTTAAACCAACGAATAAAACCTTGCAACCTTTAGATCTGCACCTAAAAAGGCATCAACTCTTTAAAGCCCAGAGACTCCAATATTAACAGAAGTAAAAAGCAAACCAGAATACTGCCACAACAATATTCAATCTATATATACCTTAATCTCCCATATAGCAACATGTAACCTCCTGGCTATCTATAGTTCCTGCCCTACTTTAATAACCTCCAAAGGTCAGGCATTTGTTTTCTGATCAAAGATTTCTAGACCCCTGATTTCTGATTCTTCTACTTCCTTAAAATCTATCCCTCCTTCTCCTCAGCTGCCTCTACTCAACCTTCACTCACATTTCTAGTCAACTGCAGTAAGGATTTTTATGTTACTTCCTGTAGACAAGGCCTCAAGCCTCGTGTAGTGCATCCAAGCCCTAGTGTTTAATTAAAATTTTTGGCTTATATTTGGATCTTAGGTATTCTCTCTGATGCTAATTAGAAACTGAGAAAATATATGAAACACAAATTGTCCATTGTTTTATTATAAGGAGCTTTTTATATAAGGTTGATAAAATCTGAAATAGATGACTAAAGCAAACTGTGCCCTCTAAGTATTTCATTTATTGAAGCTAATTTCATCCCTAAATAAGTTGGGAATACTATACCTGAACAGGGGTTCTCTTTGGGAACTATAAGGTCAATACAAATTAACTATCGTCCTAGGACTCAAGTAAAAACCATCTTAATAATGGAATTAAAAGCTGATGAAAAACCTCTGGTTCCATATAACATCTGATCTTCTTTATGGGATAACCAGATGGGCATATCATGTCTAAATAGAAAATCTGACATAAACTAAGACTATATTTTAAGAATCTTGGAAATTTAAGCCAAGTTAAATTTGTAAGGAAACTGAGTAGAGATAGAAATATGTTTCAGCATTACTATGTTAGATCAGATACAAGTATCTTGAGAAAATCTTGCTCAGCAGCTAATTACCTGTATTCCACTCCAAAAAAATACTTTGATCCATTTCTTCTAAGAGCCCTAATTTGAATTATTTGCTGTTATTATAATTTTTCTTTAACTTAATTGTCTTTATTTAAAGAAAAAAATGGAAGGCCTCTATTTTGTGCATTAATGAAAATCATACTTAAGAATTTATTAATTTCAATGACTGTAAAATTCCCAAACGTTTCCAACTAATAATTGAAGATACTACTGAAAAGTTTTTTTGAAAGAAACCCTACCTTCAGGCCTAAAATTCTAATGATCAGAATCTCCTAAAAATATGCATACTGTGGGAGTGGTTATGATGGATAAGCACTGTATAAAATACATCTATCTATACAATGTATAAAATTCCCTCTCCCCTTGACAATGGTTTTCCTTTTAGACTGCCTTCTTTTTAACAAATTTGAGAGTATCAATTTTAAATAGACATAAGCTTCAGTAGTATGGTTCTGCAACCATATAACAAATCATCAATGTTAAGCTAAGAATTTGACAATTATAATTAAGAAACAATTATAATCCTTCTTGGGGACTCTTCCTTTTTATTGTTTTTTTCAAGAAACCACTATTCTTCTAATAACTATCATTTGGGGCACAAAATAATCACCAACTGCTATTTATAGTTGCGTTAAAAAACAGAAAAGTGGTGGTGGGGGGAGGCTAACATAATAAAAAACAAAAGAAATATGAGAGTGATATTGCATCTCTTCCTTCACAATGCAAACTCTTTTGTTACCAAAGCCTTTTTAACTATCCCTCAAAGGCATTAGAGAAACTTACTTTTTTAAAAGCATGAAATTAAAGAAGAGAATGGTCATAAACATCTCTTAGTGATGCTTTTTGTCTTTTATGAGTAATAATGACAAATTTCCAGATTGGTGAGCATAAGGCTATGTCTACACATAACCCATCTGAAATACCTCTGATTTTACCAACTCCCTACCGCTGTCCCCCAAAATGATTACTGTGTAGACTTCACCAAAGATGCAGGGACACTCTTACAAATTGGTTTAAGTAACATCCTATAACTTACATAGAAATTATTAAATGAGGACTAGTCATTACAAAAACAATAAATTAATGA